ATTATGTGTTAACCTACAGACCTGGGTCAAAAAACTCTAAAGCAGATGCTTTGTCTCGTTAATATGAACCTCATGTCTGTCCAGAAACCGAAGTTCTTCTGTTGTTCCTAAACAACGTATCATAGGCAATACTAGGATCAAAATACCTTCTTATGGGAAAAACATATGTTCCTCCTGAACTACAAAATATGTTCCTCCTGAACTACATCTCATAGCTAATGAATTCTGGTAGCCATCCATAAGGACACCAGAGATTACGCTTATGGCTTGTGAAACATATGCTCAGACCAAATGACCTCACACACTTCCCTACGGCCTGCTTCAACCTTCAGACATACCAAACAAACCATGGGTTAGTATAGCAATGAACTTTATTGTTGATTTACCTATGTCGGAGAAGAAGACTGTAAGCTTAACCATTATAGACAGATTTACTAAAATGGCTAATTTTATTCCTTTTCCTAAATCACCTTGATCACCAGAATTGTCTGAAGTCTTTGATAAAGATATCTGTCGTTTACATTGTATCCCCACGGAAATAATATCTGACAGGGGTACCCAGTTCTATACTCAGATGTGTATTAAACTTAATTTATCGGCTTATCATCCTCAATTAAATGGAGCAGCAAAACGTACTAATCAGAAAGTGGAACAATATTTGAGATGTATCATTACTGAGTGAGCACCAGGACCATTTGGTTGGCTTGATTCCCTGGGCTGAGTTTGCACATAAGAACATAAATAACATAAATTTCATATTTTATATGTCCTTTTTATTTAAATTATGGATTTTATCCTACTGTTCTTCCATCTGCATTCCATTCACATGGTACCCCGATGGTTGAGGAACATACTGATACAAAAAGATATGGAATGGCTGCGCCAACATACTGGTACTAAAGTGCTAAACATATTGTAACAATGCAGTGTATGTGTGCCCAGGACATACTTGAAAACGAGAGAAATCTCAATGTTTCTTTGCTGGTAAAATATTTTATAACTAAATAAATATTAATTTATAGGTTGCTTTAATGCAGTTTACCAGATTTGTGGGTCCTTACAAGTTCTTAAGACAGGTTAATCCTGTTGCTTATCGTCTTGCTCTTCCTCCTGCATTGTTTATACCTAATACATTTAACGTGTCCTTGTTGAAGTCTCTAACATGTAATAGGTTCACCAGTCATTTAGAGCCTCCCTCTTCTATTTAGGTGGAGGACCAGGAAGAATATGAGGTGCATTCCATTCTTGATTCCTGTGTTTCTCATGGTAAATTGCAATACCTGGTGGATTGGAAGGGGTATGGTCCCGAGGAAAGGTCTTGGATTGATTATTCTAATATTCATGCTCCTCTTCTTCTTACATCATTCCATTCTCATTTTCCTTCTCAGCCTGGTCCCTTCAACCCGGTGGACAGTTCTCGCTCATGTCATGGTAATTTGTTGCCAGCCTTGGGACATACGCCATGTAGAGGGAGACCATCCTCATGGTCCTCCCTCTCTCCTCAGCACTTCCGATGCCAGCCGCTGTAGCTCCATTCCTTTTTATGACATGGTGCATGTGCGCCGACATCATGACGTTGCCCGCCAAAACAGTCAGATTCAGACATTATTGGGTGTGGTTACAAAATGGACAAAAAAAGAGCCACAATATTAAAAGGTTCCTAGGGCTTAGTTCATTGCCCTGTTGTGGTTCTAATTCTGGTTTCCAATAGTGGGTTATCATATTCTCTGTGTATCTCTGTTTTTTTTTGTAAATATGATTTTTATTGTCGATAATGCAAATAAACTCAAGCATAAAGAGTTGGTACAGAGACACGCAGGTCTCAGGCATATTTTCATATATCAATGCATCTGGTGTGACACCATATTCCTACACCATATTCCTAGTCCTCCCCATCGTCTCGGGAGGCAGAGTTTTTCATAGCTAATTCGTGCCCTGTCCCCTTTCCATACGTATTGTATGAGCGCTGTCTTAAGTGTCGCAAAAAACGCTTGCAGTACTGTTTGTGGCGCTGTGTGGAAGAGGTACAGGATCCTGGGTAGGACATTCATCTTAATTACTGCTATCCTCCCCAGCCATGATATGTGTGCATAGTTCCATCTCTTGAGGTCTCCAAGGATGGTGGTGAGAAGGGGTGTGTAATTGTGTGCGTAGATATCTTTTACTTCATGTGTGATCCATAGCCCAAGGTATCTCATACGTTCGTGGAACGGGAATCGTCGTCAGAACGAACGGGAATCGTCGTTGTGTGCATTCAGTCCCGTCTACGGTGACGCTAAGAATGTCACACTTCATTAGGTTGAGTTTTAGTCCTGAGAGGCGCCCACAGTTTTCGAATTCGGTCAGTAGCTGTGGTATGGAGTCTGCTGGGTTCTTGAGGAAAAACAGCATATCATCTGCGTAGGCGGCGACTTGTTATCCTCTGTTTTTTCCGAATAGGATCCAGGAGCGGCTCCAGGTTGAGGGCAAATATGAACGGGGGGAGTGGGCATCCCTGCCTTGTGCCGTTCCGGATGTCGAATCTATCCGTAAGGGCCCCATTCACTCTGACTCTGGCGTTCGGGTGAATATAAAGCGCGATGATCCATGTGAGCATACCACGTCCCATGCCTGTCGTGCGTAATGTCTCTGTCATGAAGTTCCAGTCTACTCTGTCGAAGGCTTTCTCAGCATCTGTGGAAAGCAAGAGTAGTTTCGTCTTCGTTTGTTTGGCTAAGTGTTGTACTGCAAATAATCTGAGGGTGCAGTCCCTGGCCTCTCTTCCCGGTATAAAGCCTGTCTGATGTGAGTGTATTAGTCTCATCAGGTATGTTTGAAGTCTCGTCGCTAGCACCTTGGAGAAAAGTTTTATGTCGGTGTTAAGGAGTGATATTGGCCAGTAATTTCCGACTTGCTCCGTGTTTTTAACCATTTTAGGGATGACCGTGATGGTTGCAGCTAAGGTTTCCCTGCTGAAGGTGTTTCCTTCACGTTTGCTATTTATCACCTTAGTTAGGTGGGGTGTAAGAATGGTTCCGAATTTCTTGAGGTATTCTATCGGGAAGCCATCCGGTCCTGGTGCTTTTCCGGTTTTTGCTACTTTCAGTGCCTGTCTAATTTCTTCTGCTTCCTCCGGTGTGAGGGCGTCCGGTTGAAAGCCCCCTAGGTAGTCTGTCGTGTCTGTCTTCCTCGCGATATGGGATATTCCGTCTTCGTCTCCACGTGTATTGTATAACTGTGTGTAGAACCGTTGGAATTCACTCGCAATGTCTTCTGGAAATTGAGTTGTTGTGCCTTGGGCGGAGCGCAGGGCGTGGACTTGCGCCCTGCCCTGCATTTCTCGCAGCATCCGTGCTAGTAGTTTACCCCCCTTGTTGGAATGCATGTAGAAGAATGCGTGTGATCTTTGGATGGTTCTGGCGTGTTTGCGTTCAATAAGTTCTGAGAGTAGCCGTCTGTTCGTTTTTAGGTCCCTGTAAGTCTGGTCTTGTCAGTCGCATTTTTTTATCTCGGCTATTCTGACTACTCTCCTTTCTGTAATCCTTTAACTAGGCATTTGTACCTTGCTTCTCTGATTTCTGGTTTCCTTGACTATGGCTTGTCCCTGACTAATCCCTGTCTAACTTACGTGAGATCTGGCCACTCTAAGGACCGGCATATGTTTATATCTATTATCTTTTACACCGATGGCCAATATAGTGTTGTAATGACTCTGCAATGTAAAGGGAGGTGAATTATAATGTCTGCTGTTAGAAAACGTGTCACTTTTACCCATTTACAACCCTTAATAAATGCTATTGCCAATCTACATACCCTCACTAAAAAATAAGTACGTCCAAACCAAATCATGTCACTCGGGCTGCGCAAAGGGGGCTGGTCTTAACCAAGAATAGACTACTCAGTCCTAAAATAGGGAATGTCCAGCCAGAATTGGGACAGTTAGGAGTCCTGAATAATTAGTACACTGAAGTTGCAGAACTGCATACCCCAAGATACTTTGTTGCAGTTGTAAAACATTTGTGTATTGTATTAAAAAAAACTTGTTCTACCACACATGCATAGACACTAAAAGCCACAGAATGGCTGGTGATCATTATGGGAGTGTTAAGAATGTAATATATGAGGTGACAAAAACAAAAAAAGATTGAATTCCATAAAGTTCATATTTTCACATATTGTATTGAAGAAGACAAATCACTACCTGCTTCCATACTTTGATGCATTTTCTAGCTACGTCGTTTAACTAAAACAACTTTATTTTTGTTTGTTAAATCCTCTACAATGGAAATACATTTTCTCGCTTTAACTATCTTTCATAGCCTTGTATATCTTTATAATCAATCAATCAACAAAACATATCAGTAAAAATACACTACAGGCTGCGGATGATAAGAGTTGTTGACAAACCACAGATGGATTGCAACAGCTGTCAAGTCTTAAATATTTAAGGATTATATGAATTGCTTTCAAACAAACCTCAGACACGCCACACACACACACACACACACACACACACACGCCACCACCACCACCACCACCACCCCCTACGATTTCAGTTACCCCTTCACTCAAGTAATTTAACATCTCTCAAGTGTGTAGTGCTCTGATGTGTAGAACAAAATACAATCTCATTTTACTTTTTTTTGGCAGTAAAAAAGTTTTCTTTGCCCAAATTCAGGGAAAATACTTAAAATAATATGACCTGTTAATGAAAATGTTATTTAATCATACTGGGAAATTTCCAGGGCTCTCTGCAAGATATGCGACAGATATTTAACAGCATGTCTCTAGATTATAGGGCAGTAATCCCTTGATTATGTGTGACATTTGGCTGTTACAAGCAGTAGTAGACAGATCTATGTCAATTTATATGAATGAAGAAATAAATAGAAAAGAAGATGCACTATAGAGGCTATTTACTAAGCCAGAAATTCTACTTTTTTTAAAATTCAAGATTTTAATGAACAAAATCATCAATGCAACATATAAATTGCACAGATAGCGATGCAATGCAAGTAAGGATGTGCGTACGGTTGTAAAAACACAGAAATTAGCCCTACGCTAAAATTCACAATTGTCTTGGGCGGCAGCAATGTTGAGGGTATTTATAGACCAAAATATGTAGACAAAGTAGCTGGAGCTTTATCACAAATCCCTATATACATTTAAATAACAGAGATCTTTGGCATCATTGAAGTATGAACTCACCTGACGCTTTTGAGGTCTAACAATTCGTCTTGTTGTCCCATAAGACGTAGAAGGTTTCCGGGACTTTCTTCAACCACAGGGGGGAAAAAACAGTCCAGGTGGTCTTAAATACCCAGGAAGAAAACTGTGCTCTACTATACCAAGAAAATATCTGTTACTTTACCAGGAGAAACAAAGTTTGCAGAAACATTTTAGACTCAGATAACAAGCAAAAATACTCTCCTATATCAGAGTAAAAAAAAAATTCACATAATATCCTTTAAGGAAAATTGTTATAGGTGCCTTTAATAACATAGCAAAAAGTTGTGGTACTCTTCCATATTGGGGAAAAAAATAATCTGGTACTTAATCATATCTAGGAGAAAAAAATACCAGTACTTTTCTACACATAGGGAAACATTTCTCAATAAACCTGTCAAAAAATAAAATAGAAATGTTGCACTTTTCTTTGGTAATGGGGGAAAATTTTCCAGTGCTCCAGTACCCATAGAGGAAAAGTTTATACTTGAATATACCTGAACAAAAAATTACAGTACCCTTTAGTACTTAGGGGGAGGAGGGGAGGGAATGGTCAAGTACTCTTTTACCCCTGGGGAAAAATTCCCATACTTTCATATACTTGGAAAAATAAATTCCACTGAGGAAACAAAAACACCAAAATTCTCCAGTAAAATACTACACTATTATTAAACACATTTTCTGTTATTCGTCTATGCTAGAGGAAGATGGGTTGTGGTACTTTTCCAGGGGAGGAAAACAGATAAATTACATTCCTATACTGTTTTTTAGTTACATTAACAGGTGTGCTGGTTGCACCATGCCCTGTGCTATGTTACGGTAAAAAACACCCCTAGACTGTGCCTAGAATTATTTACACACAAGTAATCTCAGTTCATCCAAAGTAGAAGATCTAATGCATTTGACCCCTGGGGGCAGATTGGGGTAGGTTTTCTCTAGTAGAGTCAGTATTTTAACCCCTTAAGGACACAACTTCTGGAATAAAAGGGAATCATGACGGAATATTTCCGACATGTGTCCTTAATGGGTTAACTTATTCCTGCATGTTCCTTTAAATAAAACGCAAACCAAGAACAGGAAAGAATTATTATTTGTAAAGCACCAACATACTGAGCAGCGTTGTACAATGAGTAAATGTAAGGCAATAAGTATATGTGTATTTATTCACTTTTTGTATGTAGTTATAATTAAAAAAAAACAAAAAACGAGCAGGATTTATCATGAAAAGTGATAGCGCTGACATATAACACAGGGGAACAGTTGCTTGCGTTCGCTATCGCTGAGTATTTCCAGTATCTCAGTAAATGATGCAAGTTATTTTTACACTGGATGAACACAGCTTTGGGCGGTCTTGTACCAATAAGGCAATGTGAAGCTCCTTGCCAAAAGGGAATTAGCTGAGTTTGCAGAAGGTTCCTCTATATAAGCTGCAGACAGACCACGCATTGATTAGCCTAATTTGTTGGTAATAGACTCGACAGTGTGCTCTCACACATTTCCTACTTGCCTGCCACCGGCTTAGAAAATAATCTTTAAAAAAGATAGGATTTGGGAAAAAATAATTATTACCTCTTCTGTCCAGCTTTAAAAAACTTAAATCAAACATAATAAAACGACAACAACAAAAAACACTTTTCTATAGCAAATTGTTCGTAGCCCCATAGTTTTAATTGATGAGCGGTCTACGGATGTATCCAAGACAAATTCTTCACTAGTTAAATATATTCACAAACCGAGGGCGCCAGAAATTATCACAGAGTTATCGGTTACCGTGGTTTCTGTATTTTATTACATCGCATGCTGTATTTCGGACTTTATTAATCAATATCACGTTTTTTTTCTTGACAGAGCGACCATCGAGCTTTTTAATTCCAAGTGCTCCCTGAGGGGTAAGCCTTAATGTCAATGTCAAAATTCAGGCCTTGTTCTTCTACCATTGATATCCTTGTACAGGGTATTGCAAATATACAAAAAGGTTTATTCACTAAAGGGGGAATCGCAAGGAATTCATAATAAGTTTCATATTTCAGGCCAAAATAGTCAAACTGGAAAAATTGTCCTGGTTAGATATTTTTCACATTCGGCTGCTTTGGCCTAAAATTTGAAATTCTCTTTGAATTCATTTTGAATCCCTGACAATTCTCATTGTAATAAACAACTCTGTATCTGAATAACCCTGAAAGAAAAACTAAGCTCTTCCTTTTCCCTCATATATAAGTAGGTCAAGCCGCATATTCAGTAAATGATTGTACAGCATTGTAATAGTCAAACACATAGATATATAGACAATATAATGAACAGTAATTGTTTCAGTTGCAGGGTTACTGCACGGGGAGAGGGGGCATGGCACCCAGAACGCTTCATTGATATGAAGTGGTCTGGGTACCTATAGTGTCCCTTTAAAGGGACACTATATGCACCTAGACCACTTCAGCTCATTAATGTGGTCTGGGTGCTGTGTCCCAGTCCCACTTAGTCCTGCAATGTAAATCATTGCAGTTTTTGAGAAACTGCAATAATTACCTTGCAGGACTAAGACTGTCTCCAGTGGCTGTCAATCAGACAGCCACTACAGGCACTTTCTGAATGCTAGCAGTCTCTAGGTCCCCTAAATGTTGCTGGAAGTCCTATATGAATGAAATTATACATGAAATTGCAAGGATTGGACTGGAGAATTACTGTGTGAGTTCCTATTGATAGTGAAAAGGTAGCAACGCAGATCCCTTAGACAAGATATATGTAAAAAATATAAATATATATATTTAAATGCAACTATAATAAGTTAAAAGTTATTTTAAAGAAAATGTAAAAACAGAATAAAGAGTGGTAAAATATAATGAAACAATGCATACTTACATAAAATGAGAAAAGGAAATAGAGTCCTGATAAAATGTATAAAAAGTAGTCCAAGTTTTGATTGAAGAGATAAATAAATGCTATGGCACTTGTGGGATCCGAAATGTTCAGGTATCCAGATGACGTAGAGGCATGAAGGTAAAAGAAAAGAAAATTCCAATAGTGTAAAACTGCAGTGGAAAGATGAAGATAATGGCAATGGGGTCTTCATACTCACCTATAGTAGAGCTATGGCCAGCTCAGGAGTAAATAGCATTCAGTGGCGTCAATCCCCCACTGGTAGGATATAGGTGCCAGTAGGTGGTACAGGTCCTCGATATGTGGGAAGAGGAAAATAAAAACAAATAGTGCTCTCTGTATGCAGCAGTAAAAGATAATATTATAAAATGTATAATACTCACATATGAGTGAGCAGGATGTACTGCTCACTATAGTAGCGTAGGTAGTATTATCCACACCTGGGATTCTTGGGTGAGTTGATAATCTGTAATGACCAGGTAAGAATTAAATAAAAATATAAAAATTATATAAAAAAGGTATATGGCACAAACACTTTATGGTGGGGATTATACCACCTACGCTACTATAGTGAGCAGTACATCCTGCTCACTCATATGTGAGTATTATACCTTTTATAATATTATCTTTTACTGCTGCATACAGAGAGCACTATTTTTATTTTTCCCCCATATTGAGGACCTGTACCACCTACTGGCACCTATATCCTACCAGTGAATGTTATTTAACCTGAGTTGGCCATAGCTCTATAATAGGTGAGTAGGAGGACCCCTATTGCCATTATCTTCATCTTTCCACCGCAGTTTTACACTATTGGAATTTTATTTTCTTCTACCTGCATGCCTCTACGTCATCTGGATACCTGAACATTTCGGATCCCACAAGTGCCATAGCATTTATTTATCTCTTCAATCAAAACATAGACTACTTTTTATATGTTTTATCAGGACTCTATTTCCTTTTTCTCATTTTATGTAAGTAAGCATTGTTTTATTATATTTTACCACTCTGGCGCGACCTTTATTCTGTTTTTACATTTGTACTTTTTTGTTGATGCTTTGAGGGAACATCACGCCATTAGGTTGCAGCCTATTTTGCCATTTAGTTTAGCTGTGTATTGGTTACTTAGCGCTGATCCTATTACCATTTACATTATTTTAAAGAAAAACCTGAAGGCAATTTAATAAGAATAGACTCACCTGGCAGGCAAGCAGGAAAAGAAAGAGGAAGTGGGAGGAGTCTCAGCTATAAGTTACAGATATATGCATTCTGATTGGTTGATTCTGTTTTACACTTTATACTGTTTCTTTGTTGATGGAATGTTTACAGTAAAGAAGGTTAAGCAAATATGAAGCCTCCTGTCTTTAATCAAATTTTGATAATTCAGTAACAAATTACAATAATCCCTAATTATACATTTTAGGTTGAAATAATTGCACTGGAATAATTTTTTTTAACTTTGTTGTTTTTCCATTTTGGCTTTGTTGACCAAGAATTTGCAACTCCGTTGCCAATTCTTCAAAACTCTTTGTATTCTGCAACATTTTTGTTCCCCACGTTCAGGTAGAGTCTGCACACTTACATTTATATAATAAATAAAAAACACATAATTTTAATGTTATATGTGGAACCTTTTCTGAAGTAGTCTAGAATAGAATCATGAATTCAGAAAATTACAAATACACAAATATGTCCTGCGCTCAGACTCCTGGGCGGCAACAAGGACACATCAGCCCCAATACATACAATAAATACCGAAGAAAAGAGTTACTTGCACACTATACCAAATCCCTATGCACATTTAAATAACTGGAGGTTTTTTTTGTATCACTCCAATGGCCATTTAAGCGTAAGATCACCTGCCACGTCAAGGCAAAACCTCTTGAGTCCTACGCTAACAATTCCCCTTGTTTTTTTCAGCTCCAGGGAAATAAATCTCTAATGAGACAGAGAGGGGTATTTTCTAAACCCCTACATACTTATTAACTCTTAATAGGGAACACATGGGGTCGGCGGTAGCATTGTAACATGGCTTTGTGATACAAAAGCAAATATACAAAAATAAGTCCTGCCTTTAAAGTCCCACTATTCTGGAGTGGCAGCAATGACTATAGTACACAGGGCTGGATTTTTGCAAAGATTCGGCTACACAGGCGAAGATGCATTTTGCCCCCTGTGCCACCACAAAAAAATACAACTTCAGCTGTGTATCCCTTAATCCCCCTCTTGAATTTATTACACCCTTTTGTGTTTCTTATCCTTTTTTTTTTTAAATCTTACCCCCTTTAGTGTATTTTATCCCCCTGTTACATTACCCTTCCCTTTAGTATATCTTAACCCCCTGTTTCGTACCTTTGTGTGTCTCTTACACTCCCACTTTTGTCCCTCCAGCTCTTTTGCGTATCTCTTACTCCCCACCAGCCACTTTGTGTCTCTTACTCCACTCCAGCCCAGTTTCTTACTGCCTTTCAGGCCCTTTGTGTGTCTTTTTCTAGCTAAGCCCCTTTGTGTGTCTCTTTCTACCCTTCTCATCCCCTTTGTGTTTTTTTCTCCCCTTCCCAGTCCATTTGTGTCTCTCTGTGTCCGCCCAGCCCCTGTCTCTCTTTTGCCCCATCCCTAGCACCTGTCTGTCTTTTGCCCCTTCCCCAGCCCATCGGGGACTCTTTTTGTCCCACCAACCACTCTGGGTGTCTCTCCCCCTAGCACTTGTCTGCGTCTTTTGCCTCTACCTCAGCCCCTCTATGTGTCCCAGCAGCTGTTGTCTCTTTCTCTCCACAGACCAATTTGTGTGTCTCTTTCTCCCCAAGCCTCTCTAGGTCAATTTGTGTGTGTCCCAGCTCGTCCGTGTGTCTCATCACCCCCATATGGCTCATTCCTCTAGCCCCCATGTGTCTCAGTCCCTCAGCAACCCATCTCATCTCACCAGCCACCCCATGTGTCTTATTCCCCCAAACCCCATGTGTTCCATCCCCCCAACCCCATGTGTTCCATCCCCCCAGCCCCCATATGTCTCCTTCCCCCAATTCCCATATGTCTCATACCCCAGTCTCCCCATGTGTCTCATTCCCCCAGCCTCCCCATGTGTCTCATTCCCCCAGCACCCCATGTGTCTTATTCCCCCAATCTGCCATGTGTTTCATTCCCCCAGCCTCTCTGTATTTCTCATTTCTTCCCCTTCCTCTATGTGTCTCCTACCTTCAGCCCCCCAATGTGTCTAATTTCCTCCCCTCCCCCTACGTGTCCTACCCTCTTTTCCTCCCCCAGCTTACCTCCCCTGTGTAGGAGTCTCTGTTTCCCTATATCCAGTCTGACATGAAGCAGTTCAGCGCTCCCTTCATACAATTCCTATCAGACTGGGTAGAGGAAAACAGTTGCTCATCGACCCTAGTCTGCAGCTTGGCCATGTTACATGCTGTGACCGACAGAAGGGGAGTACTGCTGTGCGAAGACTGAGCCCCCCGGGCAGGTGTGACCTAATGGTGTCGTCGGTGTAGCCTTTTGGTAATGCTGGCCCTGATAGTACACATCAGTCCCAATACATACACACAAAAAAAAAATTGAAAAAAAGAGGAATTATTGAAATTACGACTTAAAAAATGCCAGAGAAAGAATATTGTATTTTCATTTATTTTTCTTTTTCCTATAAGCAAAATTCAAGACAGTAAAAATCTCTTCTTACAGGTAACAACACCAGCAACCATGGGTGATGGGGAGATGGCCTGTTTTGGAGACGCTGCACAGTTCCTCCGGAAATCTGAGAAAGAACGAATGGAAGCCTAAAACAGGCCATTCGATGCCAAGAACACCTGCTTCGTAGATGACCAAAAAGAGCTGTACGTCAAAGGTATAGTCACAGCTCGTGAAGATGGCAAAATCACCGTAAAAACCGACGATGGAAAGGTAAATATAGAATTCTAATACTTAACATACCAGCCGTTAAATACTTTGAATTGTGAGCTAAACTAAAATGTGTCTCTTTTTCTTATAGACTGTAACTGTAAAAGACAGTCAAGTTTTCCCCCAGAATCCTCCCAAGTATGACAAAATTAAAGACATGGTCGTGATGACCCATTTAAATGAAGCCTCTGTGTTGTATAACCTCAAAGAACGTTATGCAGCATGGATGATCTACGTAAGTTTGGGCTCTTGCTCTATAACATAGACGCGTTTCTCAGTATTTGTCATGCATAGAAATACCAGATAAACAGTTTAAATAGAAAAAAAGCGTATTTAAATGCCATTACTTAGCTTGTGTATAGTAAAATCCATCCTTAGTATTAGAAAAAGTCCTCCTAAATCTACTGGGTTCCCCTTAGAACATTTTTAAATAATTTATCAGCTGTAAAGTAAAATATTTACAGTAGCTTTATTGTGAAAAGATGCCTAATCTTTAGTAGTTCTTTTGAAGTATAGCTTGATGCAATTTATTTTGTTGTCGGTTTAGACCTACTCTGGCCTTTTCTGCGTCACTGTGAACCCCTACAAGTGGCTCCCAGTGTACAACCCTGAAGTGGTTGCTGGTTACACAGGGAACAAACGAATGGAAGCCCCACCTCACATCTTCTCCATCTCTGATAACGCTTATCAGTTCATGTTGACAGGTACTTGGCTTTTTCCTCTGTGTAACAGACTTATTTTTTCAACACACAATAATATGAATTTTATTATTAATCCCCATCTCCTGTTTGCAGATTGTGTCAATCAGTCTGTCCTGATTGCGTAAGTATTTATTTTCATTGTATCTCTCAAGTCTAGCTATTTCTTCAGCTTTTCTAGACGTACTATATTTTAACCTTCTTTATCCATAGTGGAGAATCTGGTGCTGGAAAGACTGTGAATACGAAACGTGTCATCCAGTATTTTGCAACAATTGCCGCTATTGGAGATCAAGGCAAGAAAAAGGGCCCAGCTAACAGCTTGAAGGTAACACGGCTATTGGGATTACTAGTGCATAGTTAAAGGACCAAAAGGATCAAAGCATATCTCATGTGCTGTACAGTCCTCTCTATCCAGTGGTATAACGCTACTGAGAAGTCACTTACTTACTTAGACTTGCATTCATATATAGTTAATTAGGTTGAAAACAGATACAATACCTCTTCACATCTTCTTTAGCAAATACACTTATTTGATTATCCAGAAGAAGAAACTAAATATTTTTCAATATATTTTTTAGTACTTCCATGCATAATGCTTTGTTTCTACTTCCATGTGGAGGAAAAGAGATTAATGTCTAAATACAAATTTCATCAAATTAACAAATTTTACTCACGTTTGACAGGGCACTCTGGAAGATCAAATCATTGAGGCTAACCCTCTGCTAGAAGCTTTCGGTAATGCCAAGACTGTGAGAAATGACAACTCTTCTCGTTTTGTAAGTTTTTGTTGGGTAATAGCCATATTCATGTTATCATCTACATGTTTCCCCATTTGTTACCAAATTTACTAAACTGTCACTATGGTATTTAGGGTAAATTCATCAGAATCCACTTCAGCACCACCGGAAAACTGTCTTCAGCTGATATCGAAACATGTAAGGAAAATATTGCAAATTAATTTATTTTTATTTATTAATGTGATTTATTGTATTTCTTATACTGGCTTTGGTTTAAACAGATCTGCTGGAGAAATCCAGAGTTATCAGATCAGGACAAACAAGAAACCAAAAATTGTTGGTAATTAAACAATATTGTTTATTTCTCCAATGAACACAGAACCAGTTAATCTTAAGAGTAGGTTTTGATTTTTTTCCATAAGTATACATTAGGGAATATAACACACCTAATATGCAACATGTCTTTTTCTCTAGAAACACTTCTGGTCACAACCAACCCTTACGACTATCCTTCCATCAGCCAGGGAGAGATTGTTGTGAAGAGTATTGATGATGAAGAGGAATTGCTGGCCACTGATGTACGTTCTGAAGTTGTAGAGAAGATCAGCAGAATCCTAATGGTGTTCTAAATGCTGGTTTCAATCTCAAACTGCCTTTCTCATACTACAGAGTGTCATTGATGTCCTGGGTTTCACCGCAGAAGAAATGATTGGCATCTACAAACTTACAGGAGCTGTCATGCACCATAGCAACTTGATGTTCAAGCAAAAACAGAGAGAGGAGCAGGCTGAGCCTGAAGGCACTGACGGTTTGTCTTCGGTGTTCAATGAAAAATCTCAGTACAACTGAGTTTGAGTTTGATAAAACTGGTGTCCAATATATAAATACAACAATTTTTATTTTCATCTTGTAGTTGCTGATAAAATCGCATATTTGATGGGTTTGAACTCTGCTGATCTGCTGAAAACTCTGTGCTACCCAAGAGTAAAGTTCGGCAATGAATTTGTCACCAAAGGACAGACTGTCCCACAGGTAATTATGTCTCCAGTGTTCAGCTGATTATTGTTAAGGTGTGTGCAGTTCCATGCAAAGGCTTATGCTATATCTGTACCCTTCAGGTTAACAACTCAGTTGGTGCTCTGTGCAAGTCAGTGTATGAGAAGCTGTTCTTGTGGATGGTCACACGTATCAACCAACAGTTGGACACAAAGCAGCCAAGACAGTTCTTCAGTGGTGTGCTGGATATCGCTGGTTTTGAAATCTTTGATGTAAGTGAACATTTATTTAAAATATTGTCGAATATATATTTATAACTTTAAACTAAGTACATTATAATCCTCACCCTTGTGTCATTTACAGTTCAACAGCTTGGAGCAGCTCTGCATCAACTTCACCAATGAGAAGCTGCAGCAGTTCTTCAACCACCACATGTTCGTCCTGGAACAGGAAGAATACAAGAAGGAAGGCATTGACTGGGAGTTCATTGATTTCGGCATGGATGTGGCTGCCTGCATTGAACTCATTGAGAAGGTGGGTTCTTAAAATAAACCAAGTCAAGTAATGCTCTGGAAACACAGGTTAAGGATGTATAAAATGCTCACTGATATCTACTTTTTCAGCCCATGGGCATCTTCTCAATCCTTGAAGAGGAGTGCATGTTCCCCAAGTTGCTTCAAGAGCAAACTGTATGAACAGCATCTTGGCAAGTGCAAGAACTTTGAGAAGCCCAAGCCTGGCAAGGGAAAGGCTGAAGCTCACTTTTCTCTGGTCCACTATGCTGGTACTGTGGATTACAACATCAGTGGTTGGCTGGACAAGAACAAGGACTCACTGAACGAGTCTGTTGTCCAGCTTTACCAGAAGTCCTCAATGAAACAGTTGTCCTTCCTCTACTACAGCTATGCTGCTGCTGATGGTGGGTATTAAAATGTTTCATGCAAAACTACTCACTGCTTCCTCATTATCGTTTATTAGTTTAACACATAGCTCCCATTACCCTTAAATAACAGATGGTGCAAAGAGTGGAAAGAAGAAGAAGAAGGGAGGCTCCTTCAAGACTGTGTCTGCTTTGTTCAGGGTATGTACATTTATAAGTATTCCTTTTTCGAAATAAATGTTGCTTTTCTTCAACCCCAGTTTACACAACAGAAGTTAAATTGAATTCAATATTTTCCTTATCTGTTTCAGGAAAATCTGAACAAGCTGATGAGCACCTTGAGAAGCACTCACCCACATTTTGTGCGTTGTTTGATCCCTAATGATACCAAAACTCCAGGTAAAGCTCCATTCTAAATATATTTATATAAAAAGAGAACAGTGTATTTCACTCTTGAGATGTTGTCCACCTTAAACAATGACTGATTTTTGACTGTCAGGTATCATGGAAAACCATCTGATCATCCACCAGTTGAGATGTAACGGTGTGTTGGAGGGTATCAGAATTTGCAGAAAAGGATTCCCAAGCAGAATCTTCTATGGTGACTTCAAACAACGGTATTTTTCATTAACTACTTTAAGTAAACTAATAGAATAATTAAATAAATAATTGTTTTACTGATATGTACTAAAAAAGCATTTTGATTTAATGTAATAGTTGCCTTTATTTTTTTCAAGCTTTTACAAAGTTACAAAGGGTTGAATGCCAGCGCTATTCCAGACGGGCAGTTTATTGACAGCAAGAAGGCGTCTGAGAAACCTCTGGGCTCTATTGATGTCGATCACACTCAGCATAAATTTGGCCACACCAAGGTATGAAGAGATTGAAACATTACAGACTAATATATATAGTGACATTTTAGAAATTATTATAATGGTTTTCTTTCCTTTGCAGGTGTTCTTCAAAGCTGGTCTTCTAAGTACACTGAAAGAGATGAGAGATGAAAAGTTGGCACAACCTATTACTCATACTCAAACTCTTTGCAGAGGTTTCAAGAAGATGATTGAGAACCAAGTCCAAGAAGATGATTGAGATACGGTATTGTTTATGTCATGATATGAAAAAAGGGTTAATAATGAACTCTCTCTTAGAATAAAGACTTTTCTTCTGTAAATCTATTACACAGGGAAGAAATCTTCATCATCCAGTACAACCTCAGGTCATTCATGAATGTCAAACACTTGCCTTCGATGAAACTGTACTTGAAGATCAAACCACTCCCGAAGAGTGCTGAGACTGAGAAGGAGATGGCAAACATGAAGGAAGAGTTTGAGAAGACTAAGGAAGCATTGGAAAAGTCAGAAGCCAAGAAGAAAGAATTGGAAGAGAAAATGGTTTCCCTGCTTCCAGGGCCGGACTGGGGATACAAAGCAGCCCTGGAAAAAAATTTTGTGCCAGCCCCATAAGTCACTGCGCCATATATTGTCGCGTGTAATATGTAAGGCTATGTCTTGCCAGGACAGATGATTGAGTAATATATATATATATATATTGCCTTTTCTAATATAAAATATTGGTCCTTTCAGGGTAAAACGTTTAATTATACAGTAAGCATACGCACATGCAGACACAGGCAATTTCACTGACATTTCAGTGACACACACAAGCTCATTGATACACAGCCTCATAGACAAACAATCTTACTGATATACATCAGCTCATTGACATAAAAACACAAGCTCACTCACTAGCAGGCACACGCATGCAAGCAAGCTCACTCACTAGCAGACGCACACACACAGCTTAATGTGGTGGTACTGGTGTCTATAGCATGTCCCTACAGGCTTTTCAACGTAAACACTGACTTTTCAGACAAAAGGCAGTGTTTACATTGCTTCAAAGTGACACTGCTAGTGACAGTCACTCAGACGGTCACTAGAGGTGCTTCCTGTGTTAGTGCCCTCCCGCCCTCGCGCGCTGCTGAATGAGACTGGCGCCGGAATATGACGTCATATTCCGGCGCCGGTCTCATTCAGCTGCGTGCTGGGGAGCAGAGCCAGCGCAGCTCGCGCAGCTCCCTCAGCGGCCGCCAGGACAAGTCCGCCAGCGGCCGCCAAAAGACCTCCCCAGCAGCCAGGGGAGGGCTGGCAGCCTTAGGCCTGGGGGCAAAACCAGTCAAGTAGACTGGTGCACCTGCCCAGGATCAGAGCCGGTGCAAGGATTTTTGCCGCCCTAGACAAAATAAAAATTTGCTGCCCCCACATGTCACATCACAATGCCCCACCCATATGATCTGCCATATGAACTAACGCCAGTGCTGCACACAGTGTGTGTTTACATTAAAAAGCCTGCAGGGACCAGCTATAGACACCAGAACCACTTCATTAAGCTATAGTGTCCCTTTAATGTGAGGTACATTATAGATTAGTGTCACTAATAATATACTAGATTGCCTACTTACAAGCAGATGAGGATGATGATGGGCTGCAGTTTGGCTCCACTGGTCTGGTGTAGAACAGGATCTCTGGAGGCTGTTTGCAACTGTGGTCACAAAATTCAATGTTCTGGGAGAATTGGAAGCAGCTCCATTTTTTGGGGGCCCCTTACACAGCTCAAGGTCTGGGCCCCAGGGCCTGACGGTGAGTATGCCCATAAGGCCCACTCATAAGTTCCACCCACCCATGAGTTCGCTCACAGGGAGTGGAGTGTGTAGGGGATGTTATGTGTTATTGTAGAGGATCTAATATGTGTGCTTATGGTATGTAGTGTTTAGGGTTACCAGTTTGTGCAGGTGATGCAGTGTGTTTGTGTGTAGTGGAAGCTGTGTGTATTTGTGTATAAGGGATGTATTATGTGTTTCTGGTTGTGTGTAAGGGATGCATTGTGTGAATCTGTGTTTGTATGCATAAGGGATGCAAGGTGTGTGTCTGTATGTGTGTGCATTAGATGCATTGTGTTTCTGTGTGTATGTAAGAAAAAAAGTGTGTGTGCTTGCATGCGTGTGTACAGGTTTGCATTGTCTGTTTCTGTGTATGTGTGCAAAGGATGCATTGTCTTTGTGTGTAAGGGTTTCATTGTGTGTGTGTGTGTAATGGATGCATTGTGTGTTTCTTTGTGTGTAAGGGAAGCATGTTGTGTTTCTGTGTATGTATAGGGATGCATTGTGTGTGTGTGCGCGCGTAGTGTGAAAGAGCTCCCTGTCTTGGCCCCTGTCCTATAGAGCTGCCCCTTCTTCTTATTCCTCCCTCCCCTCTTCTTATTCCCCTCCCTCCCCTCTTCTTATTCCTCCCCTCTTTTTATTCCCCCCCATCTTATCCCCCCTCCCCTCTTCTTATTCCCCTCCCTCCCCTCTTCTTATTCCCCTCCCTCCCCTCTTCTTATTCCCCCCTCCCCTCTTCTTATTCCCCTCCCT